CAGTTACGTCTACAGGTGTTGATACAAGCACGAGCATCAAACACAGATACAGGTGTTGATACAAGCACAGGCATTTATACAAACTCAAATGCCAACCAAGTGGAACTGATATCATGGACCATAAACTGTTTAAGATATGATAATTACCTTCCTTCTGCTCGTGTGGATGTTGGCGAAGCTGTCGTTTGGTTTTTACTACAACTTTTCCTTCGCCAGACATCGTGAGGCGACACAATGGTCCGGACACTAAAGTCACATCGCGTAAAAAAAAAATTGAAAATAACTTTGGATTCTGGGTCATTCCCTCGACTCACCGGTGTTGTCCTTTTTGTCATTTGTTCCAGGATAATGTGCCTTACTCTAGTGTGTGTGTGTGTGTGTGTGTGTGTGTGTGTGTGTGTGTGTGTGTGTGTGTGTGTGTGTGTGTGTGTGTGTGTGTGTGTGTGAAAAATACATGGAAAGCATCAAGCAAGCCTGTACCTGTCTTGCTTTCTTGTGGTTATGTTCCATCAGTGTTCTTTTTCTCTTTCTGCTCTGGCTTCTAAATCATGCTATAGATCAGACAGACAGACAGACAGACAGACAGACAGACAGACTGACAGACTGACAACAATAGCAGATAGAGGTTGTTGTGTTCTCCGTTTTCGATTTGACTTAACTTAATCCACTATCAAGTTTAGTGGATGAGACAAGAGTTAACGTAAGGTCCATGAGATGATGTGATGGTGTTGGTAGTGGTGATGGTGGTAGAGCTGTTATGGTGCTTGTAGGGTGAAAGTATAGTGGTGGTTGTTGTGGTGTTGGTGGTGATGATAATGGTGATGGTAGAGCTGTTATGGTGCTGGTAGGGTGGAAGTATGGTGGTGGTTGTTGTGGTGTTGGTGGTGATGATAATGGTGATGGTGGTAGAGCTGTTATGGTGCTGGTAGGGTGGAAGTATGGTGGTAGTGATGATGATGATGGTGGAGGGGGAGTTTGAGTTTGTCTTTTACAGCCACCAATACCTCCCTCTCTCCCTCCCTCCCTCCCTCTCTCCCTCCCTCCTGGTCATCCAATCACCCTGAAGGCTTTTGAGACAAAGGTCCACATTTACCACTCACTCCTAGACTCCCTGTAGTCACATAACCTTCCTGGCCACCTTGTTGAGACACACACACACACACACACACTGTCAGGAAGTCAGTCACCTTATCCAATCCCAGAGAATATAGGTGACTTGTGTAGTGTAAATCAGGTGGGTGACTGAGAGGGCCAGTGAACACCTCGATAGATCAGACGCCTAAGATGGATGCAAGACGAGTGGGGGACATCTTGAAGGAGGTCTTGGGATCACAGGGACATTTATAGGGGACAGGAGGAAGGGGGGGAGGTTGGAGGTTGAGTTGGAGGTTCTCGACGTGTTGGAGGGGTAATAATAAGGTTCTACTTGGTTCTCTCTGTGTGTGGTTCTTTCTGGTTCTACTTTTGTCTTTTTCTTTTTTCTGATAATTTGTGTTGTTCTTTGTTATTTGTCCTGGTTCTTTCTTCCTGGGTGTAAGGGGGGGGGGAATACCACTCACCTAAGTTGTTTCAGTAAATGGAAGACAGTTGTCCACCTCACTGGGTCTCTTTTATCTCTCTCTGTCTCCCTCTTTCATTTCTCTTTGTGGGTTTTGTCTGCTCTCTCTCTCTCTCTCTCTCTCTCTCTCTCTCTCTCTCTCTCTCTCTCTCTCTTTTTGTCTCTGTCTGTCTGTCTGTCTGTCTGTCTGTTTCCTTCCTTCCTTCCTACTATTTCCCATGTACAATCTGTCGGTGTATGTATGTATGTATGTATGTATGTATGTATGTATGTATGTATTAATAGCAAGATGGTCAGACTCTGGGTCAAACACTATAGTTGCTGTATTCATCCCAAGTTGTGTGAGCTGTGAGTATTGCTTGACTGTAGGTGAGGTCACAACACACACACACACACACACACACACACACACACACACACACACACACACATACACACACACACACACACACACATACACACACCGGAGCATTATTAAATGTTATGAAAAATATTGTTTATTTAAGAAGCATAAAATTATACTTGGGTGGCGCAGTTATGTAGATGAAGGAGTATTTTGGGCCAACAGCCTCCACCAACACTAAAATGAAAGAGTAAAAAAAAACACAAAAATATCAACAATTAATTATGGAGGCAGGTTGAGGTTAGGTTAGGTTAGGTTGAGGTTAGGTTAGGTTGAGGTTGGGTTAGGTTGAGGTTGAGGTTGGGTTGAGGTTGGGATTGAGTTGAGGTTGGGATTGGGTTGAGGGTTAGGTTGAGGTTAGGTTGGGTTGAGGAGTTGGGTTAGGTTAGGTTGAGGTTAGGTTAGGTTAGGTTAGGTTAAGGTTAGGTTAGGTTGAGGTTAGGTTAGGTTGAGGTTAGGTTAAGGTTAGGTTAGGTTAGGTTAAGGTTAGGTTAGGTTAAGGTTTGGTTAGGTTAGGTTGAGGTTAGGTTAAGGTTAGGTTAGGTTAGGTTAGGTTAAGGTTATTACCCACCCAAAGTAATAACACTAAGGAATCTGTAGGCTTGTTGATATTAATAAACTGGTGATGGAGTTAAGTTAATGTGTCTACCGGAGTTTAGTTAGTGAGGGATGGTGTCTCGGGCCTCCATAGGTTCAATGAGTTGAGCTGAGGGGTTCGTGGATGGGGCGTCATCGTTCCTTCTCGTTTACACACACACATGTTTCAGGAATTCTCCCTCGGCTTCACTTTAGCTTCGCTCGATTCATTATATCAGGTTTTGTTCACATGGATGATAATGCGCAGAGAGAGAGAGAGAGAGAGAGAGAGAGAGAGAGAGAGAGAGAGAGAGAGAGAGAGCTTACCTCCACCACCTGGTTCTCAACGTGGCGAAGATATCAAGCACCAGAAAACGCAACTCAGTCCGACGAAAGAGTCTCACACTGTTCCCTGGGTAGAAGATATTATCGTCACTTTGGCTGGGTTCTGTTGACCTGGGAAAGATTTGTGGTTCATTTTATTTCTCCATCGTGATGTAGAGAGAACAATTGATATGTATATATATATATAGGTGGCAGGGGCAGGGGGGGGGTCTTAATTGGGGCTGTGTTTTAATTGGGTTTATTGTTTGTTTTTGTTTTTTCTACTATACTACACAAACACACATACGTAGACATACACTAACACTTATATATACACACACACACACACTAATACTTTTATGTATATGAATTCTGTATAAATAATTTAGTGTAACAACATTATCACACAGCATCAAGTACTGTGTGATAATTAAACTTTCATTAATTTACCCCGTGTGTTTACCGTAATGGCTCAGCTGCTCCCTGGAGATAACTGATTACTCCCATGTGCAGAGAGAGATACTTGTGAAGAGTTGGTGAAATCAGTCAGGCTAGAGTTACGCTTTGTTTCCAGGGAGACAATTACAGGAGGGAGGAGAGCAACTATTGAGGTAGGAGAGACAACTATTGAGGGTAGGAGGCCAACTATTGAAGTGGGAGGACAACTATTGAGGTGGGAGGACAACTATTGAGGTGGGAGGGACAGCTATTTGAGGTAGAGGAGGACAACTAGTAATTAGGAGGACAACTATTGAGGTAGGAGGACAACTATTGAGGTAGGAGGACAACTAAATCTAGAGGTAGGAGGACAACTAACTCTAGAGGTAAGGAGGACAACTAACTCTAGAGGTAGGAGGACAAGTAACTCTAGAGGTGGGAGGACAACTAACTCTAGAGGCAGCAGGACAAGTAACTCTAGAGGCAGCAGGACAACTAACTCTAGAGGTAGGAGGACAACTAACTCTAGAGGCAGCAGGACAAGTAACTCTAGAGGCAGCAGGACAAGTAACTCTAGAGGTAGGAGGACAACTAACTCTAGAGGCAGCAGGACAAGTAACTCTAGAGGTGGGAGGACAACTAACTCTAGAGGCAGCAGGACAAGTAACTCTAGAGGTAGGAGGACAACTAACTCTAGAGGTAGGAGGACAACTAACTCTAGAGGCAGCAGGACAAGTAACTCTAGAGGCAGGAGGACAACTAACTCTAGAGGCAGCAGGACAACTAACTCTAGAGGCAGCAGGACAACTAACTCTAGAGGTGGGAGGACAACTAACTCTAGAGGTGGGAGGACAACTAACTCTAGAGGCAGCAGGACAAGTAACTCTAGAGGCAGGAGGACAACTAACTCCAGAGGCAACAGGACAAGTAACTCTAGAGGTGGGAGGACAACTAACTCTAGAGGTAGGAGGACAACTAACTCTAGAGGCAGCAGGACAAGTAACTCTAGAGGTAGGAGGACAACTAAATCTAGAGGCAGCAGGACAAGTAACTCTAGAGGTAGGAGGACAACTAATTTACAAGCAAGGGGACAACTAATTTGTGTCCATCAGAATCATTGTTTCTTTTCTGAGGTTGTTCCACACACACACACACACTCTGAGTATTGCTTTATCATTTTTCAATATGGTGAGAGTTTTTTTTTACAGCGTCGATAAAAGTTGAAAGAATTTTATTTTTTGTTCTGATTTGATCTTGTGTCATCCGTCTCATTTCGAAAGGATTGGAAGGTGTTGAGTGGGATTGATTTTCCTCACTTGTGATATTAGATTTCGGAGAAGGAGAACGATAGAGGTTATTCAGAAGATGTTATACATGTTCTTTATTGATAATATATTTATACACACACACACACACACACACACGTACACTAACACTTACATGCACACTGTACACAGATACAGGATATTAGTCAACAGTGAAACACATCTCAGTGGTCACCTTTTTTTTTTTTTTCTCATTTTCTCTGTTTTTTTTTCAGTTATCTTTGTCGCCCTGTTTGTATCGTTTCTCTCTTTCTCTCCCTCTTTCCCATTTTCTCTCGTCGTAACGGCGCCGCCACCTCCCAAGTCTCCGTATTTGGTGAGTGACATCCGGTCAAAACCTTCTTATCACTGTGTTTACATTATTCACAGTTTCACAGTAACTTGCCAGAGAGAACACTGAGTGGGTGAGTGTACCTACTACACCCGGGGAGTATTTCTGGTGATTATTCCCGTGAGTATCTTTAGAAGAGATAAACTCAAACATTTAAATGTCAATGGATATGATATACTAAACAAAAAGTTCTGTGACAAAAGTGCCAACAGACACAAAGAAACTAGGGCGGATAATGTTAAGATTTCCAGGACCAGTAGTAAGTTATGTAGCATTGTTTACATTACAGGTGTCGTCAGTCATGACCACCATACAGGGGCGGGGCCTGTTGACCTCACCTCTGCTGCTCCTGCTGGTGTTCTGCTACAGCGACGAGGGGGGACCTCCGAGTACCCAGCAGGGCCTCATATCAGCCAGTAAGAGTCAGTCACTTCCCCTGAGGGACACAACCAACCAAGACCACGAGGTTAAGTCTGTCACGCCCGACAACACCGCCATCTTACTGCCTACTTCACGTCACACGCCAGATAACCTGAACCAAACTTCTGCCACACACCAACACACAGTCAGTGCACATCTCACATCCCAGGATCAATCCTCGCAACGTGGCGATGGTGAGAAAGTTGGTGATGGGTCAGTGACACCTGCTTCAGGAGGCCGGGATGAGGAAGTACCTGTGGTGAGTGACATTGATGTGGAGGCAACAGTATCTTCAGTGTATAACGATGGTAGTCAGTATTACCTCAGTGGCGGACTATCAGCACGAGGCAGGAGATCCTCGCCCACCGCGGCCCACTACCCGCCAAGCTCACCCTTCACCCATGACAGCTGGCCCTCCACCCACTACCCACCGGACTCGCCCTCTACCCGTGACAGCTGGCCCTCAACGCTCACCGCTGACACAACACTGAGTCTTGATGACATCGTCCAGTCTTGGTCCAGCACCGACCACATGCTACTCTGTGGTCATCCTCCTCCAACTTACACGCCACAGTTTCTTGGTCACTCACGAGAAGTTTGTACAGAAAACAGAAATAAGCCAAAATCTCTCGGTGCCCCAGACACTCTCATTATGTGTTATGATATATATTCCTCAATTTATGGTAATATAGAGATAAATTATATGAATTACATTGTTAAAGATTTCCTATTGGAAATATATTTTGAGGATAATTTTGTGAAAATTTGCTTGCCTTTGTTCAGACGATTTGATGCGTGTGAAGAGAGAGAACTGTACACTCTGTGCTGGGAAGCTGGAGTTGGCTTTATACACCATTTAAACTGTCAAAATCCTGCCGAAGAGATGGTATCTCTTCTTGAAATTGTTACCACACTTCAAGAATATGATGAAACACTGTGCTTCCAGGAATTTTGTGACGGAACTCTGGGGGTGATTGACTCAGAAGTAGCTGGAGTCCCTTTCCGCGTTTTCGATACTCCTAGAGTAGATCGTGGACCATCGTGCTCTTACCTGCACACCAGTGTTATTCAACTTTTTGATATATACAATGAAACATTATATATAACAAGCAACACTCAGTGGCCGTGCTGTTACGCCATGTTCACGGTGATGTGGGTCGGTGATCCTGACGCGCAGGGGCTGAACGGTGCCTGGAGTTACCTGCCAGTGTCTTGTCGGGCAGGGGAGGTGGTGCTGATGGTAATGGTGGCGGGCGTGGCGGTGAGCGGGGTGGTGGGGAACCTGGTGGTGGTGGTGGTGGTGATGCTGAGTGGCGGACACAGAGGTCAGGAGTCCAATATGCTCCGGACCTCCCTCGCCCTCGCAGACTTACTCACATCTCTCTTCGTCGTGGTTCCTTCCCTCTGCCACCATATTGCTCCTTTTGTCAGTTCAGTAAATTTCAGAAAATTGTCACCATCGTCAACTCACTACTTCATTGTTGGAAGTGTTTCAAACATTACGTTACTGTCTATGGACGCAATTATTCATGTTGATGCCAAACATGGTTACCTTCTGTTTCAGTCTGTGTTATTTAGCACGTGTTCCATCGTGTCTGTGTTGACACTCTTCATGTTAAGTTTGGAGAGGTTCATCCTCACTGGACGACCGCTTCACTACCAGGAATATTTCACAGTGGGGAAGGTACAGGTGATCATTGTTATTTCCTGGATAATGAGCTTCATTGATGCTTTAATGTTCGCTGCTCGCCGCGACGGTCACCTGGGGGCACGATGGTCAACCTTCAACAAGCTGCCAACAGGTGACTCGGGTGAGCTGCCAGACGGTATAAGTTATGCTTTCGTGCAAAGTTCGCGGATTGCACTACTGAATATAGCAGGAGTTTCTACCGTAATATTTTCGTTGTTGTCAATCAGGAACTTCGTGAAGGAACAGAAGCGGGTGGCAGCAGAGTGGAAGAGTTTGAGTCTGAAGGTGGGGGGGCGGTATGAAGAGGAGACCCGCTACATAATGGTGACTATGTTGCTCATGTTGATGTTGTTTCTTGTGTCCAGCGTCCCCTTAATGGTCGAAGTATATTTTAGAACTTTCTCTCATTTCTTTCACTATGATGCTGTGTACTCTTATCTGGCCTGGTGGATGTTTGTGGCGGGGTCAGCGTGGAACCCTTGGCTCTATAACCTACGCAGTCATCAGTTTAGGAGCGACTTTAGTGAGACGCTGAGGAAACTTGTGCCAGAGAGACTCAACAAAAGGTTACGGAAGTACGTCACTCACTCACAGCTGTGGAACAATTCTAGTGACCTTGATAACCAGGATAGACTGATGAAACTCTTGGACAAGTTGGGACCAAAAATGGAGTGAAAGATGGCGGTGATCAGAGACTAAGACTTGAGAACAGAGAGTGTTAATTATAGTACTGTGTTACACCTTAATATGTTCTTGTGTTCATACTTCAGAGGTTACTAAATGTATGTTTAGATATTTATGAACATCTTCAGTAATGGGTGTACAAATTATTTCGTTAAAAGGTCACATTGGTCTGCACGATTCTGAATTGTAAACTGTGTTGCAAATATTATGCCAAACTTACATACAAAAAAATATTGACAAATTCACAATAAAACTAACTTTTGAAAAAGCTTTTGTTTGAAGAACTTTGTTGGCATGAGACAGAGTGAGACTTATGACCTGTGTCCTTGTACACTTATTCATGTTTAATTCATGTATTACAGTATCATTATCATTATTATTATTATTGATCAATAAAATATTCAAAATCACAAAAAGTTTCCGTGACCTGTGTTAATTGGTGATACTGGAAACAAAATATTAAATATATTCGTGATTAATTTATTTGACTCTGAACGTTTTGTGAATTGTATTTATTACATTTCTAAATTAATATTAATGGCTATTGTAATGAAAATGTCCTTGTGTCTGTTGGGTGATGAATATAACTGCTGGTGTTTTTGTTAATGTTTGGGGTTGTCAAGGGAATTTCGGCAGTGTTTAAGAATAAAGAAGAAAATTATATATATATATATATATATATATATATATAATATATATATATATATATATATATATATATATATATATATATATATATATATATATAATATATATATATATATATATATATATATATATATATATATATATATATATATATATATATATATATGCTGCAGTGAGTTATACTATGCTAGTCTCTCTCTCGGACAGTTAAATATCGTAGAGTCGTGAGAACTTTAATTAGAATCTGCGTATGTGATGACTTGATGAGCAGCTGCACCTGGAGATAACCTGACTATTGTTGCGTGGAGAGAGAAAACTCAGGTGTCAGCAGATGACGTCAAAAGAGATAAAAAAAAACTAGGCTGTGTCTCACCTGCTGCCAGGAGACAGGTAACTAAGGAGACCAGTCTACCTGCCTCTTCCTACCTGTGTTGTGTGTGTGTAATAATAATATTGATAATAATAATATACAGTTTGTTAATAGAGTTGCAGCCGGTGGCTGAAAATATACAGACTTACATTTGATTTAGACATAATGATATAATATGCGTTGAATACATTTACAGGGCTGTACAGTACATAAATCAGGAGTTGTTTATTATTTTAACAATAGATGGGATGGTGCTGTTCTTATATCTATCGGTGCGGGCTCTTATGGGCTGAATTTTGTTGTAGTGTGTGTGTGTGTGTGCGTGTGTGATTGATCTACGCAAATTGACAGATGAGAAGACACACACACACACGGATCGATTACAATACCCTCGCTGCTCTTCCCTGTTACGGCCAGAGTAAGTAATAACAGCTGCTGTAGCAAGATGAAATAACAAAGACGAAGATGTCACACGGTATAAAGGTTTCCTGTCTTATTTCCGTCCAATATCTGTCTATGTTCGTTAGGGATAGGAGAGAGGAGGGAGGGCAAGAGGGAAGGAAGGAAGGTAGGGAGGATCGAGGAGGGTGGAAGAGATTGAGGAAGAGAGGGGAGAGGAAGGGAGGGGAGGGGAGGGTAAGACAGTACACTAGTTCTTTGAGATGAATGTTATTTATTTCCGATTTTACTCCACCAGACAGCGAGAGTGTTTCTGATTAATCCAAAAGGTAGAGAACCAATAGGGGGATGGAAGTGAGTCGATGCGTTTGTCTTTTGAGATTAAATTTCTGAGGACGAATAGATTTGATCAAGTATTAAAAGGGTTACAGTATCATTCTTTCTACTGTATGTCAGTATTAAGCCTACACACACACACACACACACACACACACACACACACACACACACACACACACATCTCTCTCTCTCTCCTCTCTCTCTCTCTCTGTAATAACTTCAGGTAGTAGATGCGAATTGAAAATAGAAAATAAAAAAGCGTCTAAAATTTTATGAATAAATAATTATATGCAAAAGATGAGAACACGTTGAATAAATGAACAGGTATATTGAACGTGTAACCCTCCCCCACACCTGTTGTTTACACAGCCTGCCTTAAAGAACACTAATAAAATTGCAGATTAACCTGGCGAGTGAGTTAAGTCTGGCAGCCCTCCTAAACCTGATGAGGTAAAACAAAAAAGGTAAATATATTGAAAAACAGAAATAATGCCCACAAACTTCAAGGTTATTTTTTTTCAGTGTTGTAAATAAATAAATGTGTGTGTGTGTGTGTGTGTGTGTGTGTGTGTGTGTGTGTGTGTGTGTATTTTTTTCCCTACTCCATATCGCTAGAGGAAAGGGAACTGAAGGGATAGGAAAGGAAGGGGAAAGTTGGAGTGGGAGAGGAGAGAAGGGAATGGGAATTGAGGGGAGGGAAAGGAAGGGGAGCTGGAGGGGAGGGGAAGGGGAAAGGAGGGAAGGGAGGGAGGGAAAGGAGAGAGGAAGAGAGAAAAAGGAAGAGAAGGGTATTGATTGTCTCTTATCTAAAATTAAATCGCCACAGGGGGTAGTCAGCACCAATATGTGTGTGTGTGTGTGACAAGTTTTCTAGAGGTGTCTTAAATGGCTACATGTCGGAACTAACGGACACACACACACACACACACACACACACACACAGATATTCTTCAGTGACTGCTAAAGCATTCTATTTTACGCTAGAGTTAATACAGATAATAATAATAATAATGACAGACAGACAGAACTCACTTACATGTCGTTTTTAAACAAGTTATTCATTTCGCTTTTATTTGGCATCTACCTCCCGCATATAAAACCCACACCCTCCACACCTCGACGACAGCTCAAGTAGAGAGAGAGAATGCACAAGATGTGATGAAGAATGGGGAAAATAAAGTTACTTGGGAAGGAAACTCAAAATAAAAACGTTCAAGAAGAAGATCCAGTGAAACCTTTATTTAACGACCTATATGGAGAGGAAGTCCGTTATATCGAGGGCCTGTTGGATGTGAAACCTCCATCTAACGGATTATAATGGTGAGAGAAGTCCGTTATATGGAGGTTTTACTGTATTATGGAAGTGTTAAAGAGGACTGAAAGATGAGACTTATAAGGGAGAGAGAGAGAGAGAAGAAAATATGTATAAACACGAGGTGAGGAAAATGGGTAAAGAACTCTAGAGGGAGGAGGAAGCCCGGAGGTAGAGGGGAGGGAGAGTGGGGAAGAAACATGGAGGGAGAGGGGAGGGGGAGGGGGAAGAGTCCAGTAGGTATACAAGTGAGACATGGTTCAAACATTGACACTCTGGATGTCAAATTTGGGGCAACGAGTGAATACATAATGGCGACACCACCAACCACTATTCCCGTTGACCATTTTATGAGAGCAACAAAAGGGCATCAACCAGGAGGAGTCAAAATTGCAGTATATCGTGAACGAGTGAGCGAGCGATCAACGAGAATATCCGAAAATGTGTTATTGTGAGGATTTCGTATAACACACTCGTAAACAGAGCCATTACTGGGGGCTAGTGTCGTTAGCGAAATATAACGAAAGTCGGGAGATTTTTGTAATATATTGCATAGTGAGTGAAAGGCCAGTTACATCAGCGGTTTATTGATAAATTGTTGCTTCTGTGGCTGTTTGTAGGTCTTGTGATCAGTGCATATATACCTGCTCGGTGTAGAGCTGTGCTTCAAGAGATGTTGGAAGCAGATCAGGTGAGTTTAGTCTGAGAAGGTGTTGCAGAGACTAGACAAGAGTGGGGGAACTAGGGAGCGATGTGTAGCCCGCCTTGGGACGAGGAAGGGTATATGGCAGAGAGGGCAGCCTTGATCACCATACTGCTCCCTCTGTTTGGTTCTCATTCAGAATTTAACAACTTTCTCAAACTTCATCCTTAATGGGTAAAGCAAATATCAGTTTGTAGTGAGAATGTCTGTGACAGATTGAAAACTACCCTGTCGGCCACCAATAAATTCGATGTTGTGAGTTATGTGTCAGAGTGGTTCTGTGTGTGTGTGTGTGTGTGTGTGTGTGTGTGTGTGTGTGAGGGGAGGAAGTGATCTGGTCAACTGTAAAGATTGTATAACGTTCACCATCAAAACAAGACACAAGTCACCCCCAAATTCACATACACACACGTGTGGCTCCGTGTTACAGGTAAACTTTACGCTATTTGTAGATCCTCTGGTGAAATTCTGCCTCTTCCACCTCCCTTCACTCCCCTTCTCCGGCCCCCCTCACCTCGCCTTACCTCATCACCCTCACCTCACCTCACCTCTCCAGCCCCTCTTGCCTCACCTCACCTCTCTAGCCCCTCTTGCCTCACCTCACCTCTCTGGCCCCATCATCATGTTTTCTGTATCAACTCTCGTTACTAAAGATATTAAGACTACGACTCTGCCTTAAGTGTTTATTAGGAAACATTGAATACAAGAACATATTAAGGTGTAACACCGTACTATAATTAACACTCTCTGTTCTCAAGTCTTAGTCTCTGATCACCGCCATCTTTCACTCCATTTTTGGTCCCAATTTGTCCAAGAGTTTCATCAGTCTATCCTGGTTATCAAGGTCACTAGAATTGTTCCACAGCTGTGAGTGAGTGACGTACTTCCGTAACCTTTTGTTGAGTCTCTCTGGCACAAGCTTCCTCAGCGTCTCACTAAAGTCGCTCCTAAACTGATGACTGCGTAGGTTATAGAGCCAAGGGTTCCACGCTGACCCCGCCACAAACATCCACCAGGCCAGATAAGAGTACACAGCATCATAGTGAAAGAAATGAGAGAAAGTTCTAAAATATACTTCGACCATTAAGGGGACGCTGGACACAAGAAACAACATCAACATGAGCAACATAGTCACCATTATGTAGCGGGTCTCCTCTTCATACCGCCCCCCCACCTTCAGACTCAAACTCTTCCACTCTGCTGCCACCCGCTTCTGTTCCTTCACGAAGTTCCTGATTGACAACAACGAAAATATTACTGTGGAAACTCCTCCCACCATCAAAAGTGTAATTTGAGAATTATAAATAATTTCATAAGCTAAATTCTCCGGTGATCTTCCCGCTACACCTGTTGGCAGCTTATTGAAGGTGGACCACTGTGCCCCCAGGTGACCGTCGCGGTCTGCAGCGAACATTAAGGCATCAATGAAGCTCATTATCCAGGTAAGACCAATGATCACCTGTACCTTCCCCACTGTGAAATATTCCTGGTAGTGAAGCGGTCGTCCAGTGAGGATGAATCTCTCCAAACTTAACATGAAGAGTGTCAACACAGACACGATGGAACACGTGCTAAATAACACAGACTGAAACACATGGAACCCGTCACGAAGGATGGCATGGTTACCTACCCGTTTTATGTCATTTGTGGAATTTAGGATATTTTCAGGATCAAAGTTGAGGGCCATATCACTTGATAATTCTGTTAGTTCATTTGGGTAAAATAAAGGAGCAATATGGTGGCAGAGGGAAGGAACCACGACGAAGAGAGATGTGAGTAAGTCTGCGAGGGCGAGGGAGGTCCGGAGCATATTGGACTCCTGACCTCTGTGTCCGCCACTCAGCATCACCACCACCACCACCAGGTTCCCCACCACCCCGCTCACCGCCACGCCCGCCACCATTACCATCAGCACCACCTCCCCTGCCCGACAAGACACTGGCAGGTAACTCCAGGCACCGTTCAGCCCCTGCGCGTCAGGATCACCGACCCACATCACCGTGAACATGGCGTAACAACACGGCCACTGAGTGTTGCTTGTTATATATAATGTTTCATTGTATATACCACGAAGATAATCAAGACTGTAGCTCATGAAGACACACGAGGGACCAGTTACTCGTAGTGGGTTATTAAAGACTAAGAAAGGGACCTCACCCGCTGCCGAATGAGTGACCTTTAGGGTTCCTTCGCAGTGTTCCCGGCAACATTCTGAGTCGTTGTGCATCAAAAATCTGGCCAGAACCTTCGCAAATGTTTCTTTCCCCTCATGAGGAACCTGACAGTCATGGTAATGTAAGAATCCCACAGTGTCATTCCTACATATAGTCAAAAAGTCTCTCTCTTTACAAACATCAAATCTTCTAAACAATGGCAAGCAAATATTTATAAAGACTTCATCGTAATATATAATTAATTGCATAATATCACCATATACCTGTAAATCGTATAATGGCTCTATATTACCATAAATTGAGGAATATATATCGTAACACATACTGAGAGTGTCTGGGGTACCGAGAGATTTTGGCTTATTTCTGTTTTCTGTACAAACTTCTCGTGAGTGACCAAGAAACTGTGGCGTGTAAGTTGGAGGAGGATGACCACAGAGTAGCATGTGGTCGGTGCTGGACCAAGACTGGACGATGTCATCAAGACTCAGTGTTGTGTCAGCGGTGAGCGTTGAGGGCCAGCTGTCACGGGTAGAGGGCGAGTCCGGTGGGTAGTGGGTGGAGGGCCAGCTGTCATGGGTGAAGGGTGAGCTTGGCGGGTAGTGGGCCGCGGTGGGCGAGGATCTCCTGCCTCGTGCTGATAGTCCGCCACTGAGGTAATACTGACTACCATCGTTATACACTGAAGATACTGTTGCCTCCACATCAATGTCACTCACCACAGGTACTTCCTCATCCCGGCCTCCTGAAGCAGGTGTCACTGACCCATCACCAACTTTCTCACCATCGCCACGTTGCGAGGATTGATCCTGGGATGTGAGATGTGCACTGACTGTGTGTTGGTGTGTGGCAGAAGTTTGGTTCAGGTTATCTGGCGTGTGACGTGAAGTAGGCAGTAAGATGGCGGTGTTGTCGGGCGTGACAGACTTAACCTCGTGGTCTTGGTTGGTTGTGTCCTTCAGGGGAAGTGACTGACTCTTACTGGCTGATATGAGGCCCTGCTGGGTACTCGGAGGTCCCCCCTCGTCGCTGTAGCAGAGCACCAGCAGTAGTGTCAGTAGGAGCAGCAGAGGGGATGTCAGCAGGTCTCGCCCCAGTGTGGTGGTCATGACTGACGACACCTGTAATGTAAACACTGTGTTATGGCATGTTGTACAGAACCAGTGAAGCTCATGTTGACGAATCTTCCCTTGAAGACTAAATTACCTTTAATCAGCTGTACTATGAGTGAAGTCTTTGAAAAGGCAAAACAAAGCGCTACTTTCATTCTCTTCTCTAACACATACACTCGTTCATAAATTCGTTCCTGTGATTTAATGTTCGTGTTATTAAGTCGTTGTTTCCATGATAACACGAAGGAATTACGATCGCGTGTGTTTTTAGAAGAACAAATGACATCTAACAGATTTTTACAGATTGCCCACGAGGGGGCTAGTTTATTGGGCACCTCCTTACATCCTGTGCAAGGTGAAGCGCAGAAGCGTTTACAGTGCCCAACTGGGAAGCATGCGGAGTTCATGCTTGCCTTTATGACTCATGCATTAGGGGCGTAAAGGCCTGAAGGGTCATGGGTTTTGTCAGCAAGTTACATAAAGTGACAGAATGATGAGTGTGTGGGGTGGAAAATTCCCGGTACAGTTTATCTGTTTATGCCAAAGTGTGGCAGGTCCCTAATAATGTCAAGTGCCAGGCCTGTCACTATGAGGAGGGATATCTGGTCAGGGAGGGAAGAGGTGTTGGTAACGGCTAATGTGTTTATCCCAGGACAGATGTTGTGACTCCTTTTTGTTGTTGTGTGGGAGAGGATGTGAGCGTGCGACAGAAGGGTGAAGAACATCTCACTCTCAGATGTGTACACAGTAGATAACATTGTGTTTGTATTTGTATACTGTATATGTGTACATGTGTGTGGGTGTGTGCCTGTTTTTCTGTAGTTTTGTTTGTTACATGTGTGTTTGTGTTACATGGACACAAACTCAGCCTTGGTTTGTAAACAAAATCACAACATTACACAAATAAACGTACAGTAAAACCATCTGTGTAACACGAAACATAGTGTTGGGCAAACAAACCTTAATCATGCACAAACACAAACGTTAGTCCCACACAATCACAAACGTTAGTCCCACACAAACGTTACTCCCACACAATCACAAACGTTAGTCCCACACAAACGTTACTCCCACACAATCACAAACGTTAGTCCCACACAATCACAAACGTTAGTCCCACACAAACGTTACTCCCACACAATCACAAACGTTAGCCCCACACAATCACAAACGTTAGTCCCACACAAACGTTACTCCCACACAATCACAAACGTTAGTCTCACACAAACATTAACCCACTCTCATTACACTATCTACTATGCATATAACCAGAGGCACTACACAAAACGCACATATTCACTCACTAGATATAAACACGGAGACAGGATCGTGCACTCGGTATAGTACACAGGACGCCACTGGGAGGGTCGGGGACACTGTTACCATCACCAAGGGAGGAAGCCAGAGATGGTACTCATGTTGTTATGGGTGTAGCAACTTGCTTTATGAGAGTGTGAGTGAGTGATAAAGATAAACAAGAGAGAGAGAGAGAGAGAGAGAGAGAGAGAGAGAGAGAGAGAGCCAATTGAGGTGGACAGTTGACCTTGCCATCCATTAGCTGAAACAATTTAGGTAAGTGACCCCCCTTTGCTCCCCTAGGAAGGACCAGAAACTAACTTTACTCTCGCCTCAGTTACTCTTTGGAAGTCGCCTGAATTTCATTGATATTATATTAGGTGAATTAGATCTGTTAAATCACCTGTCGGAAAGATACCTATTTTCCTGTGATGAAATTAGGTGACTTTTAGAAAATATATAGGGTAAAGGTTATCTCTCAATGCAATCCTGTAGAGATGTGTGTGTGTGTGTGTGTGTGTGTGTGTGTGCGTGTGTTTTAACAAGGTGATGTGACCGTAGAGAGCCTAGGAGAGGGTGGTCAATGCCTTCGTTTGTTTCAATAACCTTCGGGGTGATTGGATAACTTCGGGGTGGGGTGTGGTTGGGAGTTCCTTAGATAAGTACTGATAGCTTTTAAATGACAGCTTGACTACTGTACTATTGGTATTACCACCCACTATTATACCTCTGCCGTCAATACCAGTACCAACATATCTGCTATTACTACCACCATCTACCACTATCTACCATCATCTACCACCATCTACCACTATCTACCATCATCTACCACCATCTACCACTATCTACCATCATCTACCACCATCTACCACTATCTACCACCAGCTACCACCATCACCGAGCTATCACTACCACCACCATCACCAAGTACCACTACTACCACCACCACCACCAGCATCCTACCACAATCACCACCCTCCTTCCCCAGCACCTATGAAATCTCTTGAGAATTCAGATTTAAGTTACGAAAACTGCCAGGCTTGGGGAATAAATAAAATAAAAATACCTAGAAATCTCTCTCTCTCTCTCTCTCTCTCTCTCTCTCTCTCTCTCTCTCTCTCTCTCTCTCTCTCTCTCTCCTCTCTTCTCTCTCTCTCTCTCTCTCTCTCTCTCTCTCTCTGAACTTTGAACTGTAAAAATATCTCAGTAACTTATTCTTGAGAGTTATTTAGACAGGTTAAAGAGGAGGACTAATGAGGATCCGAGTAGGAACCATAACTCAGTTCACCAGCAGCTTCCTTTAAGGGCTGGTTCATTAGTTGGTCTTGTTCTTGATGTGCAGGTTCCTTCATCGCTTACACTTACTGGAGTTGAGTGGCTCTCTCTCTCTCTCTCTCTCTCTCTCTCTCTCTCTCTCTCTCTCTCTCTCTCTCTCTCTCTCTCTCTCTCTCTCTCTCTCTCTCTCTCTCTCTCTCTCTCTCTCTCTCTCTCTCTCTCTCTCTCTCTCTCTCTCTCTCTCTCTCTCTCTCTCTCTCTCTCTCTCTCTCTCTCCTTCTCTCTCTCTCTCCTCTCTCTCTCTCTCTCTCTCTCTCTCTCTCTCTCTCTCTCTCTCTCTCTCTCTCTCTCTCTCTCTCTCTCTCTCTCTCTCCGGGGCTTATGTTAAGGGTTGCCTACTGTTATGCCTACCAATTACCCGGAATATATTACACCAATCAAAGGCCACCCGACCGTGAGACACATCGACAGGTGTCATGGGGGGAGGGGGACGAAACTCAATATTGAACTGCCACATCTGTCATGATATCCTGCAACCTCCAAAGAGCTCCCAGCAACCTCTACGATACCTGCAATCTCCAAGGACCCCTCAGGAACTTCTACGATACCTGCAACCTCCAAGGACCCCTCGGAACTTCTGACACCTGCCTCCAAGCCCTCAGGAACTTCTACGATACCTGCAACCTCCAAGGACCTCAGGAACTTCTACGATACCTGCAACCTCCAAGGACCCTCAGGACTTCTACGATACCTGCAACCTCCAAGACCCTCCAGGAACTACCGTACCTGCAACCTCCAAGACCCTCAGACTTCTACGATACCTGCAACCTCCAAGACCCCTCAGGACTTCTACGATACCTGCAACCTCCAAGACCCTCAAGGAACTTCTACGATACCTGCTACCTCCAAGCTCTCCCAAACCTAATACGTTTTCCTCCCTCTACTCCCTCTACCCCAGCAACCTCTAATCTCTCCCTCTCTTATCTCCCTCCTCCCTCCTCCCAACCTCTATCACCAACACTATATCCCTCCCTCCCTCTTTCACCAACACTATCTCCCTCTCTCCCTCCCTCCCTCCGCCAACACATTACTCCCTAATCATCGCTCAGGTGGATGTAGGCTTCATGTATACCTGACAGACATCAACCTGTTCAGAAAGTTTCACCTCGTAGGAAAGTAAACACTAATAGATTCGTTTTTTATATGAATCCGGATACTTACGTCGTTTTTTATATGAATCCGGATACTTACGTCGTTTTTTATATGAATCCGGATACTTACGTCGTTTTTTATATGAATCCGGATATTTTCACTGTTTTCTTTGGCATTTGGAGACGTACAGTAGATGTTATAAACTAGATACACCATTGGTTTGTTTACATGCAAGAGGTCACCCCCCATATTGTCTCATTTAAAGCAGGTCACCTGAAGCAGAAGATCAAACTCATCACTACTCTCTCTCTCTCTCTCTCTCTCTCTCCTTCCATCCCCTAACTCTTCCTTCCCTTCATCACCCTGTCTCTCTCTCTACATCCTCAACCATTCCGTCGTCCCTCCTACCATCCGTATCCTGTAAGACCTCGGTCATTGTGCCATAGAGCTCCGCCTTATACCCTTCGTTTATGTCTGTCGAAATTTTATGATGCGTGAGTTGGGCGGTCAGTTCTGTATGTATGTATGTATGTATGTATGTATTTTAGTTAGTCTATGATTGTGTGTATGATATTTCTTTACATGTATGACTTATTACTCTGTGGGGGGGGAGGTGGCTTATAATCTGATTTTTAAACGACTCACTTCAAGAATGACTTCAGTAAAAACACAATCGTCTCTATAACGACCTACAGGGAATATGGAGTGAGCCTTTACACCACTCTCTGAATACCAAAGCCTAACAGAGAGTGGAGACGAATAATTCAAACTAACCACAGTTGGCGATATGAGAGAGGCTGTGGTTGGATGTGGGCAAGTCTCTTGAAGGATTTTTTTGCGGGAGGCATATTGAGGGACAGGGGTGGGTGGATGGTGGGGGAGGAGCAATTTGAGAGATGGTGGACAGGGGGTTGGATGGTTTGGGGTGTGTGGTGGTGGATGGTGGGAGGGTGAGTGGTGGGGTGGGGGTTGATGGTGGGAGGGTGATGGTGGGGGGTGGTAGATGGTGGGGTGTGTGGTGGTGGATGGTGGGGGTGGATGGTGGGGTGGGGTGGGGGTGGATGGTGGGGGTGGGGTGGATGGTGGGGTGGGAGCAATTTGAGATGGTGGACAGGGGTTGGTGGTTGGGGTGTGTGGTGGTGGATGGTGGGGTGTGTGGTGGTGGATGGTGGGTGGATGGTGGGGGTGGATGGTGGAGGGTGGACGGTTGGGGTGTGTGGTGGTGGATGGTGGGGGTGGATGGTTGGGGGTGGGGTGGGAGGGTGGATGGTGGGGGTGGATGGTTGGGGTGTGTGGTGGTGGTGGTGGGGGTGGATGGTGGGGTGGATGGTGGGGGTGGACGGTTGGGGTGGATGGTGGGGTGTGGTGGTGGATGGTGGGGTGGGTGGGGGTGGATGGTGGGGTGTGGTGGTGGGGTGTGGTGGTGGATGTGGGAGGGTGAATGGTGGGGGTGGGGTGGGGGTGGATGGTGGGGTGGATGGTTGGGGTGTGTGGTGGTGGATGGTGGGGTTGGATGGTTGGGGTGTGTGGTGGTGGATGGTGGGGGTGGATGGTTTGGGGTGTGGTGGTGGATGGTGGGGTGGATGGTTGGGGTGTGTGGTGGTGGATGGTGGGGGGTGTGGTTGGGCGCGTGGTGATAGTGGCAGCGGGGATGGGGGAGAGATTGTAAGCTGCTGACGATTGAGGGATACTAATGGGAATGGATTGGTAATGCTGAATGGTGATTGTAGTTTGATTATGTTAATATGTTATGTTTGTTATGTTATGTTTGTTATGTTATGTTATGTTATGTTATGTTATGTTATGTTATGTAATGTTCTGTTATGTTATGTTATATTATGTTTTGTAATGTTATGTTATGTGATGTTATGTGATGTTATATTGTTTGTAATGTTATGTATGTTATGTTATGTAATATTCTGTTATATTATGTTATGTTATGTTTTTATTGTTATGTTATGTGATGTTATGTTTTGTTATGTTATGTTTGTTATGTTTGTTATATTATGTTTGTTATGTTATGTTATATTTGTTATGTTATGTTATGTTTTATTTGTTGTTATGTTATGTGATGTTATGTTTGTAATGTTATATTTTATTTATGTTATATTATGTTTGTTATATTTATGTTATGTTATGTTATATTTGTTATATAATATTATATTTGTTATATTTATGTTATATTATGTTTGTTATATTATATTTTGTTATATTATGTTATATTATATTTGTTATATTTATATTATGTTATGTTTGTAATGTTATATTTTATTATATTTGCTATGTTATATTGTATATTATATTATATTTTGTAATGTTATATTTATTATATTATGTTATATTATATTTGTAATATTATATTATTTGTTATATTTGTTATGTTATATTATATTTATTATATTTGTTATATTTATATTTATGTTATGTTTGTTTTATGTTATGTTTGTTATGTTATGTTATGTTATGTTATGTTTGTTATGTTATATTTGTTATGTTATGTTTGTTATGTTATATTTATTTATATTTATGTTATATTTATGTTATGTTTGTTATATTATGTTTGTTATGTTTATTTATGTTATGTTATATTTTGTTATGTTATATTTATATTATGTTATATTATATTTTGTTATGTTATATTTGTTATGTTATATTTATGTTATATTATGTT